CCCCTGAGGGGCTGGGGGGCACCAGGAACCCCCCCTGAGGGGCTGGGGGGCACCAGGAACTCCCCTGACAGGTTGGGGGGCACCGGGAACCCCCTCAAGGGGGCTGGGACTCGTTGGGGGTCACCGGGAGAGAAGTGGCTCCTCCCCGGGGGTCGGGCTGGGGGGGCTGTCAGGGGGCTTTGGGGGGCACCGGGAACCCCCTTGAGGGGTTCTGGGGGGCACTGATGGGTGGGGGGGGACCAAGGAATTTTTGGGGAGGGGGGGGTCTCACACAGAGCCCACGTGGAAATTGGGAGGGGTGGGGCGTGGTCATCCTTAGCTCCGCCCCCTTTCAGCCCCTCCCATCACCGCCCACCCCCAACTTCTTGGGATCCCCCCCCCCCGGCCTTTGTGACCCCCTTAAACCCACTTTTCACCCCCAAACCTACCCAAGACTCCCCCAAGCCCATCCCTGACCCCCCCAACTCCCACACTCATCACTGCCCCCGATCCCATCCCAGACCCCCCATGACCCTCTTCTGACCCCTTCACACCCACCCAGACCCCCCAAAACCCATCCAAGAGCCCCCTAAAGCCCCCCCAACCCACCCCTGACCCCTCCTGACACCCTTGTGACCCCCCAAACCCACTCCAGACCCTCCTAAAAATCTCTCCAACCCCCCAAACCCTTCACACCCAACAAAACTCCCCAAAACTCATCCAAACCCCCCTCCAACACCCCACACCCACTCATCACTCCCCCAAACCCCATCCCACCCTCCTCCTGACCCTCTTGTAACCCCTTTAGACCCCCCAAAACCCCCCAACACCCACCCAAACCTCCTCCAACTCCCCGATATCCACCTGTCACCTCCCCAAACCCTCCAGTGACCCCTTCAGACCCCCGCAAACCCCATCTAAACCCCCTCCAGCTCCCCGATATCCACCTGTCACCTCCCCAAACCCTCTTGTGACCCCCTCAGACCCCCCCCAGCACCCCCTCCGGGCCCCCCCGGGCCCCCCGCACTCACCGTGACGAACACCACGTTGTGCGGGAACTCGGCGGCCCCGGGCCCGTCCGGGGGGGAGCTGCGGGGCCGCGATGGGGCCCCGGCTGGCCAAGAGCGCGGCTGGAAACCCCCTCCTCTCCCCTCCCTGCCCTTCCCCGAGCCCCTCGGACAGGTAGTGGCGGATGTTCTGCCGCGCCGAGCGCACGAGCCGCCCGTCAATGTCCAGCCCCACGACCCTGCTGGGCCCCCAGCGCTTGGCGATGCTCAGGGTGAGGTGCCCCACGTTGCACCCCACGTCCAGCACCTCCTTGCCCGCGAACCACTCGGGGCGCAGCGCCCGCAGCCGCGAGTCCTCCACGTCGGGGTTGCGGTACCCGTAGTACTTGCAGTAGTTCCCGTACTGGAATTTGCGCTCCTGGCGCCGCGGCGCCTTCCCCGGGGGCTTCCCCGCTTTCTCCTGCGGTTTCTCCTGCGGGGGCTTCTCGTGGTTTTGGGCGGGAGGGGGGGGCGGCGGGCGCGGCCCCTCGGATTTGCTGCAAGTCCGTCGGCGCTTGCGGTGGCGGCCGGTGGGGCCGGGCTCGGGGGGCTCCTCGGGGCCGTTACCGCCGGCGTTATTCCCGGCGCCGCCGACATTGCTCCCGGCGCCGCCGCCGTTATTCCCGGTGCTGCTGGCGCTGTTCCTGGCGCTGTTGGCCCGCTGCTGCCCGCGGTGCCGGTGCCTCCTCCGGCCGCTCTTGGCGGGGCTCGCCAGCCGCACCTCGGGCCCGTCGTCGCCGGGCGCGTTGAGGCTCAGCGGGTCCGTGATGTCCCTCGGCACCAGGATCTCCACGGGGTCCCGGCCCCGCGCCGGCAGCGGCGAGGACTGCGGGGTGCGCGCGTTGAGCGCCCGGCTCACCTCCTCGTCCAGGAGGCTGTTGAGGTTGAGCGGGTCGAAGATGTTCCCGCCGAGCAGGAACTCCGAGGGCAGCACCGGACCGCACTCCGAGGCCGCGCGGCGCCGCCGCTTCCACGCCGGCTGCTTGGCCCCGCAGCTGCTGCGCCGCTTCCCGCCCCCGCCCCCGGCGGCGCGGAGGCCGTTGCGGGGCCGGGGGGTCTCGGGGGGTCTCTGAGGGGCCGCGGGGGGCGGAGGCGGCGGAGGCGGCACCAGGAAGGCCTCGGGCGCCGCCGCCATGGCGGCCCGGCCCGCGCCTGCGCGCTGCGCGGCGCCGCCCCCGCGCATGCGCCGGGGACGCGCGGGGAAGGGAGGAGCCCCCGCGGAGGTTCCGCTCTCGCCGCGTCCGAACCGCGATGGACGCGCTGCGCCGGCCCCGCCGCGCTTATATAGGGGAAGGGGCGGGGCTTAACGGGGAGCACGCCCCGAAAAGGGGAGGGGCGGGGGAGCGCGGCCAATGGAGAGGGAGACCTCGCGCGCGGCGGCCAATAGGAGGAGGTGGTCTGGTGGGGGGGCTTGATGGGGTGGGGCTGTCCTCGCAGAGCGCCTGCCCGAAACGCTCGTGCGGCGGAGGGGGGGCAATGGCGGCGGCACGGGAGGAAAGGAGGGAGAGGGGGGAGAGGCGATGAAGGGTTTGGGCTGCACGGGAAAAGGGACGGAAGGAAAGCGGCGGGGAGGCGGAGCGGGCGCGCGGCGCGGAGAGAGATGAGGGGGCCTCGAGGAAGCGCGGAGGGTGCCGGGAGTTGTAGTCCACAGGGACGACGGAGCGCCTCACCGCTTTCTCACCCCCCGCTCGATTATTGCGCTGATGTTCCCTCCGTGTCTGAGCCGCGCGCTGACGGCGTCGCCTCGGCCGTGACGCCACAGAACCGGCCGTTCGTCCCTTCCCAGTAACGGGAACAGCGAGAACAACGCGCGGTTCTCGCCGCGGCCGCCAGGGGGCGATCCCTGCGCTTCCTTCCCGTGAAATCTCGCGAGAGCCGCGAGAAATCTCGCGCCGGGCCCGCGCCGTTTCTCGCGCTACCTTTCCCGCCATTTCCCCCCCTTTTCACGCGGGGGGGGTGGTCACGTGACCTCTTTTTTCCCGCCTCCGTTTTCGCGCCCAATCGCCGGTCACGTGATCCCCCCACCGCGAGCCCCGTTTTGAGGTAAAACCCCCCAGAATCGGTTAAAAAGAAGCCCCAAACCCCCTCGGAACTCCCCACGCCCCCCCCCAGCCGCCTCCACAGGAGCCTCGGAGCCGCTTATGGGTGGATTTCGAGGGGAGTTTTGGGTGACTTTTGGGGACTTTTTTGGTTTGATTTTGAGGTTTGTTTGGGTTTTTTGGGGTTTTTTTTGGTAGATTTTGGGTTTTTATTGATTCCTCCCCATTTCTCCCCTCAGTTTTTCCCCCTCAGGGACGCTCCACGCGCTGGTTTTTGGGTGGAGTTTAAGGGGGGTTTTCTTTGGGTGGATTTTGGGGGTTATTTGGGGTGAATTGGGTGGATTTCAGTGACTTTTTTTGATTTTTCCCGTTTCCTTCCCCCCTTTTCCCCTCAGGGACACTTCCTCTCCACACACTGCTTTCGGGTGGATTTTCGGGTGAATTTCAAACTGGCGGGTTTTTTGGGGTGGATTTCACTGATTTTTTAATTGATTTTCCCCCCATTTTTCCCCCCCCCTTTTCCCTCAGGGACACTTCCTCTCCACGCACTGCTTCCCGCCCTCCTCGTACTCCTGCTTGGAGATCCACATCTGCTGGAAGGTGCCCTGGCACACACGTGGGGGGATTGGGGTGGTTTTGGGGGGTCCCAGGCGGGGGATCCCCCCCCAGGCCCCCCCAGTCCCCCCAGACTCACGAGCGAGGCCAGGATGGAGCCCCCGATCCAGGGGCTGAAGCGCCGCTCCATCGTGGAATTGCTGGCGATGAGCTTGAGCCGCATGCTCTGGGGAGGGGGGGATACTGGGGGCACTGGGGGGCACTGGGAACCCCTGGGAGTCACTGGGGACAACTGGGGGGTGACTGGGAACCCCTGGGAGTCACTGGG